GCCTTGGGACACGATCTGCCTACAGGTTCTGGTCCATCACCAGAGCAGGGAAAACCATGAGATTTCGGCAGCGAGTAGGTCGCGTCGTACTGCACGGAGATCGGGATGTCGGTGGACGCGAGTCCAACCGCGAGGATGCTGGCGAGGGTCACGGTGGCAGCAGGTTTCCTTGAACTCATTGATCGCTTGAAAGTGATAGTGGTGAGCTAGACAGGTGGAGTGCGTTGTCGCCACCGACGAGGAAATTGAGGAATGAGCTTTTGTGCAGGGAGTGATGAAGCACCAAGTTTTTCTGCCCAAGTGGTGATACGTCTGGCTTACATTTGGACGGATCAATTATAGAAAAGCTCCTTTCCAGCTTCACAATATAGAAGCGCACAATGGAAAACCATGTGACTCGGAGTTGACATGTGAATCATAAACCACTTCACGTACCCACCACTAGTGACGATTTCATTATCTTTTGAAACAGACTATCGGTTTTATGTCATTTGCAGTTTCCATAATATGCTACACTGTTATGCCGTGGCACACGGGCCAGGCCTCTCAAGGTGGAGTAATAACATTTGATATACAGTTGCGATACTTCCTGCCGAGTCGTTGGTCGACGCAGAGTTTCCCCGACGGGACAACAGCGACGCCGAGAAATCAGGAGTAGCGGGGAAATCTCACACAAGGCTAACTGTCAAGCCTGTGTCCTCGGCTATCACCAAGGCCGTCATCACTCGATGAAGACGCCCAATAGAGGGGTTCTCCACAACGTTTTTAGGCTGGAAGCGCCTCATTTTGACCTCTCACTCGAAAAACTAGTCCGTGAGCGCCGCGACCGAGAAATGCATCACTCTCCACAACATTAACGCCAAAATCAGAGTACGCACTAGATAAACGCGTTATGAAACAGTGAGATGTGATTGGAGTAATAACAGTTCGTGATCGAGACTCAGCAGAACGGTTACCGCTGACGACTGTGAGAACTAATATATTTTCCGAAAGTAGAGAAATCGATGAGTACTAAGCAAACTCATTATGGCGAATCGATGAATGAAATAAATGCAATTATCTGTTTTGTCAAAAAGAAAAGTGGCTGTCGAATGGTTGGAGACTCTGACCGATCAATGGGCAGCATGGTAAGCAGCAATACTCCCCGCCTGTCCGTTGTTTAGCCCAGTCGTCTACCCGCCGTTGAAGTCATCTCGCTCACGGAAGTTGGAAACGTTTGCTCAAACCGTTGAGGAATAGATACCAGCGTTGAAGTAGTGAACTTTGTTCTCCACCCTCAATACCGCTTGTGTCCTGGTCAGTGCACGGTGCTGTTGGAGGCTCCGTGGTGACCTCTTCGGTCGGGTACTTCGTCGCGACATCTTCAGGCGGATACTTTGTCGAGGCCTCCTCCATCAGGTATTCCGTCGGAGTCTCTTCGGTTGGGTAATCGGTCGGGATCTCTTCGGTGGGGTACGGCGTCGATACGTCCTCGGTCGGGGAGGGTGTCAAGACTTCTTCCGTCGGGTAGGGCGTCAAGACTTCTTCTGTCGGACAGGGCGTCAAGACTTCTTCTGTCGGACAGGGCGTCAAGATTTCTTCTGTCGGGTAGGGTGTCGATACCTCCTCGGTAAGGTAGGGCGCTTCAGTCGGGTACGCCGTTGATGCTTCCTCACTCGGGTACTCTGTCGAGATGTCATCGGTTGGATACGGTGTCGATACCTCCTCGGTAGAGTAGGGCGCTTCAGTTGGGTACGCCGTTGATGCTTCCTCACTCGGGTACTCTGTCGAGATGTCATCGGTTGGATACGGTGTCGATACCTCCTCGGT